TTTGGGGGAAGTTGAAGGAAGTACAATTTATATGGTATATTTTTTGGGGGGGAAGCTGAAGGAATTAAAATTTCATCTATCAAACATATCTTCTATTTTTGGAAAGTAAAGATCTTGAACACTGCTTTGCTTTGGCCCTTTTTTCAGGAAGCATCCCTAGAGGTACTTCCCAAACAACCTTACATTGGAAAGGAATTCCTTTTGGAAGCTTACATGAGGTATAAGTGGAGATACCTTATACTTATCAGGAACTACTTGTGGCAGTTTATATACAAGAATATATGTAGATGACTTCCAACCAACATTTCCTTTGAAGGAATCTTCCTTTGGAAGTTTGCACAAGGTACCTGTGGAGATACCTTACATACATGCCAGAGATTTACTTTTGGAAGTTTACATGAGATATCTATGAACATACTTTTGAATTGAAGTTTGCTGGATGAAATTTACTTTTGGAAGTTTTCAGAATGTTGGTGCAGGCAAAGACACATAGTGATTCAAGTGCCAAATGCTATTGGAAAAATGTATGTGGAAAATCCAAAACTGTTTCAAGTATCCTCAGGTATTTGCCTGCAAGAAAGGATCATGTTTCAAATGTTCGGGGTGCTTGATTTTACTTGACACTGCATTCAACTAACTTTATTTGAGACTCTATTCAACTGACATTACTTAAGGCTGCACCCACTTGGCTTTACATGGGGCTGCACATTCAACTGACTTTATTTGAGAGTGCATCCAATAAGTTTTCTTTGAAACTGACTGCCTGTCAATTTACCTGATGCTCCTTTCCAAGAAAATTCCCTGAGATTGCATTGATTTATTTTTGCTCCAGTCACCTGGGAATCAGTCAGACTGAGGAGTATCTACAAAATCTGGAAGGACCCCTACTCATATTTCTATGAAATTCTGACCAAATCAGTTCAAACCTCTTATGCACTTTTGACGCACTTTTGATGCACTTTCAAACAGTTCATGAACTTTTAGCAAAAGTTCATGAACTTTTGCTAAAAGTTCATGAACTTTTTGAAAGTGCATCAAAAGCGCATCAAAAGTGCATCAAAAGTGCATGAAAAATGCATCAAAAGTGCACCAAAAGTGCATCAAAAGTGCATCAAATATTTGGCACTTTTCTTACTTGAGATTTACATGTGATGTTCTTGGATTTGTACAGATGCTTACTTGTGAACACAAAAAGACGTTATTATTGTTTTGCTTAAAACATCTTTACTTGAGATTTACATGTGATGTTCTTGGATCTGTACAGATGCTTCCCATGACATTAGTCAAGACTGCCTTGAACTAACCAACTAAATTTGCAAGACATTTGGCCAAACAATGAGTCAAGAGTTATTCATCACTTTGTTGACCAGAGATATTTCAACAGTTAAACTAATTTGGAAACTCACCTCTGGAAATGAACCAATAGTGCACAGCTTCAACCATTTCATCCTAGTTTGTCAACTTACATGTGCTTACTTGAGGTGACTAATATAGATCATGATCCTAGCCTGCCATAAACCATGAAGACACTGCAAACACAATTAAAAGCAACTATTGAGTAATTCACAAGTAAGCCACAAGTCAAACTGAATCCACAAGTAATATACAAGTCACAGGTATGTCTCAATGACTCAAGTAAGATGGAAAACATAACTCATGCAGTTGAGGAATGCCACAGGTAACATTCACAAGTAAGTCTCAAGTAAGCCTTGAGTGAATGTCAAGGCTACCAACATCCCCTACCAGTACAAGTAAAACAAAGTAAACCATAAAGCTTCAGCAATCCACCATCAAGTGTGCTGTTTTCTCCAGCTGTCAGATAGGTTCACCTACAGCATCAACAAGTAATCGTACTTAGTAGCAAGTTCTTGGCATGTCTCAAGTAAATTTCTGGCCCAGCACACCCAAGTAAAAACAAACCAACATAGCTCACTCAAGTAGCACTCCACACAGGTAATGAATCATCACAAGTACAAATTGTCTATGTCCACAGGTAAACAAATACAACATAGTTCACTCAAGTAACACTCCACAGACTTCAAAAAGGCAAACAGCATGCAACATGCATCAATGCACCTTTCAAATTTTGTTGAAAAAACCTTTCAAAAAGTTTACTCATATGAGTCAAATGAGTAAAAAAAATTAGGTAAAAAATTAGGCAAAAATTTAGGTAAATATTTACGTAAATTTCAACCTATTTTTTACAGTAAAAGTAAATATTTACGTAAATTCTTGCCTATGTAAATTTACAAAGATTCGAGACAGAGGGAAGAAGGCGACCAGGACATTGCTCAAGAGCTCGGGAGTCGCCAACACCATGTGTTCCTTGGCAGCCGGGCATGGAGCTGAACGACGGTTTCGAGATCAACTTGGAAGCTCGGGTCTTCCAATGAAGACCCTGCTCCCGTTTGGAGCCACTGGCTATGCTAAGCAGAGGATCTGGGAAGAGAAGTACCATGCAGGACTGGAAGCTCACCAGAAAGAAGGTGATGATCTATGGACCAGACATTTCAATGTCAGCGTCAATGACCGGCTACTTCGTCCAGGACGACACTGGGAAGTTCTTCCATACCGCGGACGTCATCCAGCCAGAAACACAGCCAGAAGAACTTTCACTTCCAGACGTCAACCTGGGTGAGATGCGAGAGCCTGGAAAGAGCATGAGAATTCACGGGAAATCCACGGTGATGGGCAGCCTACAAGTGCCTACTGAAGGAAGCAGAACGAAGGCGCATCCGTGGACTTCATCTCTTGATGGAAGAGCTGGACCTTCAAGACACTATGATGACAACTTCACTGAGCCATCCATGGAGGAGGAACAGACTGGAGCTGATCGATTTGTCCGCTCTCTGCTGATGGACGTGGAGGGATTGGCCGGAGGTTTGATGGAGGAAGAGAAAGCTCAGGCCAGTCTGGAAGCTGAGAAGCTGATGAAGGAGGCCGAGGACCAAGGGGTCTTTCTTCAAACGTGGACGACGTCTTGGCCATTGGAAAGCCGGAAGTTTTGGACGGCTTCTGCGCCCGAATGGCTGAGGAGTGGGAAGTCGGAGCTCCGGAGTGGATCGAAAATGGAGGTGCACCTGTGAAATTCTTCGGAATGGAAATTGAGAAGAAGCTGGACACCTACTACGTCCACCGGAAGAGCTACCTAGCAGATCTCCTTGGCAGGTATCCTGGAGAAGGAGGTGGAAGCCTTGGGAACATCAAGGTGCCGCACGAAGAGGAGGACCCTAGCCCTCAAGAGGTGCAGAAGGCCCAGAAAGAAACAGGAGAACTGCTGTGGATAGCAGGACGCACGAGACCAGATATCTCCTATGGGGTGATCCGGGTGAGCATCATGGGTCAGTATGCGGCTAAACGCCCAAGAGGAGTTCAGAAGATTGGAAAGGAGCCCAGGCAGTATCTGAGGGAAACTCAGGACTTGATGCTCGAGTATGCCCTCTTCAAGATGGCGGCGAAGAAGGAGCTCAGCGGCAGACGAGGCATGCTGATCTGATCGAGGTGCACACCGATGCCAGCTTCGCTTCAAATGGGCTTCGAAGCATGAGCGGAGTGGTCGGATTCTACGCTGGAGCGCCAGTGTTCTGGTTGACATGCCGGCAGAGCTTCATCACTCTGTCGACCGCCGAGGGCGAGCTGATGGCGCTGTTGGAAGGCCTGACGGCATCGAGATGCATCAGATCCCTGGTGGAGATGCTTAGTTAAGAGAGGCAGATATTTCAATAGCCATTGGGACGACGGGACCATGGAGAACCCGACATCTCAGGATTCGAGCTCAGGGACTACATGAGGCCCTGGTGGAAGGTGAAGTGTCGTTGGAACATCTTCCTGGTCAGTGGCTTGTGGCTGATGGGCTGACTAAGCAGCTTAGCGGTGACCACTTCAAAGGTTTGTCACCGCTCTGAAGCTGGTGCAGGACCGAAAATCCGTCATCCAGCTCAGTTCCATGAAGACCAGCGGTGGTGACAGAGCTATGGTCACAAGGCCGCAGGACAGTTTGAGCCTATTGGTCGTGGGATCCACTTTGATGATGACACCAGTGGAGGCATCGGAGGGACTCACCACTGAGGATGGGGATGGTGGATTTGGAATGTTCCTCACCATCTTGGTGATTGCGGTGCATGGATCTACACGAGGGAAGAGCTCAAGGTGAAACTCTTGGATGAGGCGGCCTCTCTTCCATCAAGGAGTACATCAGGATTGGCGGAATTGGATCTCTGCTCCATTGCCGACTACAAGATTGCCCTCGGAGATTACCAGCTGGTGAAGACTGGTATTGCCGTGGAGTTGCCACCAGAAACTACGGGCGATTGGTCTCTCGGTCTGGCCTGACATCTCATGGAAATTGAGGTGAGCGCTGGGGTGATTGATCGAGATTTCGGAGGTGAAGCCAAAGTGCTACTTCGCAATCTTTCCGGCCGTGAATTTTGGATGCGACGAGGAGATCGAATCGCGCAACTCATTGTCTTCCAGAGGACGGAGAGGCTTCGGAAGTACTGGTCTAGAGCGGGCCAGTGAGGAGACCTTCCTTCCATCGAGACCAGTCAGAAAGATGGGATGGACACTCAGCCGTTGACAGGGGGGAGCTCCGCTACCAGAATCCAGAGTGGGGGGAGCACCGATGACTACTGTCACGAGAGGTCTATATACGCAATTTCTATTCTGCTTATATAATGGGCGGGGAAAACGCGGTACTTCTAGAGAACAGGAGCCCTAGGTTTCTCTGAGGCCTTTTCTATCTGGGGTCTACGGTGTAATTTTTTTTCCCTCTTGCTTGCATAGGTTCCGCTTCCTGCTGTTGTTGACCGTCTCAACGCTGCGCTTCATATGCTCAACTGCCCCCATGCTTTCCACATACGAGATATTTCAATGAGATTATCGCTGCTTCTGTTGCTCCCGTGGTATGTCACTTCTTCAAGCTTCCAAATCTTCCAACAATAATTGCGCGCCCCGAACTCTAACATGAGACGCTGGAAGCCCTGAACCCACATAACTCCGAATTATCTGAGTCTCCAGCAGTACGGAATGGTTTGATGCGACACCAAGCGCCAGGAACCACTTTCCTTCAATTCAACACATCGGGTAAAGATCCGAAGCATTGCAAAACATTCCAGCTGTCAAGGCCAAAGGCAAACATGAAGTGACATGAAGAGGCTCAAGCCACATGCGCATAAGCACTTAATCACGCTTGGCGCCAACCTCCAGCTTCAAGCGCTTGGTCGCTAACAAGGTTCCTGTCTGAAAAGCGAGACGTGTAAGGAAGTCCCCTGTTGCTTTCTTCATCCCACTGTCTTTGGTTGGTGTGAAGCGGTATGAGGCTGAACCTAAACTTGAACAGTGCGTTCATCAGAATGCCGGCCCAAAGCATCATTTGAGGAGGCTCTGAATCTGCGAGCCTTTGCCGCCAGGGCCGCCGTCATTGAACAAACTCCCCTCGCCGGCACAAACCTACATCACGAGACCAAACCACGCAAAAATGATCAAAATGGGAAAGCAAACCGAGCAGTCAGACAATTCATGCCCACGTCACGTAGGCCAACAAAGCATGGTCAAGTCATGTATAAAAATTCCTTTCTGCATAGTCTGAACAGCTGCAGTACAATGTGTCCTTCAAATTTCACCCCACATCAGAAAGCACCTCGATTGAAGTCACCATAGCTTCGCTCTTTCCAAGTCGAACAACATCCACATCAACTACGTCAAGGACTGCTGCCTGAGAGCCAATGTGGGAAAGGGCCTTGGAATGCTGCAGTTGGCAACATTTGCGCTTGGCTTCATACTGCAGCTTGTTCACAATTTGACACACCCCAGCCTTGTCACTCAAGACCTCCTCCCAGGAAACTCGTGGCCTAGAATCTTTTTCCTCACCAGCCTCCTGTATTGCAAGAGGTTCTGGGGAACCTTTTTGGGCTGCCCAAAAAGGAATGAATGTGAGGGAAAGCACCAATGCACCTCCTTAACGTTCTATCGTTTGTCTATCTGTGTAATCTTCAAGCTTGAATTTTTTGATATGAAACGAGCCAAAGAACTCTCCTAAACCAAACTCTAGCTCAAGACTAGTCTGCCAAACGGCACATTGCCAAACATGGGGTCATAGCAGGCGGCAGAAATGCAGCGGCGTGCTTGTTTGCAGGCTGGTGGTCTTTGATCCGACGGGGGAACACCCAAGATGTGAACTTGTATAGAGCTTCCCACATTGCAGCACCTCCCATAGCGTCCGCATTAGCGGTGCGTCTCCACTTTTCAGCGCCACATAAAAGTCATCATGCACCTTGAGAATTTCTACCTGCCAGGTGGGTGCGACTGTGAAAGCCACAGAACGATCGTGGGGGACAGCCGTTGCACAGCAGCCAGTGAACATCATTGTATCGTTGTAATCTAAATTTGAATAGATGCGTGATGCGTGTTGATATATATAAGGTGCATGCAAAATATATAATGCGCATTTTGGGGTGGGTGAGGATGTTATTGGATACGTGGTTCTGAGACGGCAATGTGCTTACCGCAGCTTCGGCACTTTTGCTAACAATCATCGCTTTACATTGCCAAAGCCTGCAGCCTCTTCCGGCCACGTGCAGCAAAGCGGCTTCTTTTTCGGATTCTTGGGCTCGCTGCGGCAAGAGAGATAGATTTTGACCAACACCTACGAAAGCGAGGATCTGATCGAAGCCTCTTCCTGCACGCCCAAGCATTTAAATCTGACAGCACACCTATTTGTCAGCCACCGTTGGGAAGTAACTTCGGTTACAATCAGCACAGCTCTAGAAGAGACCAGCCTCTGAAGGATTCCAGCACAAAAGACGGTAAGACAACCCAAGTCACTCGTAAAACTGCACACATACCCTTACAGGTTTGCTGGCAAGCAAAAGAAATAAACTGTGAAAGTCCGACGGGTTTCAAACCTCTCCCAGAAGCGCCTGAACTTTGGCCGCGTAGCCGCCCGCTACGTCCGAACAGCAGCCAGGAGGTTGAGCTTGGCTCCTGGCCTGAGAATCTGAGCGCGGTAACTGAATTGACATGAACTGTGTGGCTTCAGTGGTACACTCGTCGATGCCACCGGCGCAAGGGCTCCGCGCCTGATACATCTTGCCAAGCTGCGTAGCACCTTGACCATGCCTCTAGCGGAGCGCCGTTGCAGTAGTTCAACAGTGTCCGGAAAATGCCCCTACCCTTGCACGCCCAAAAAGCCTGCCCCCATACGGCCAATGAAGGATGTACGGAAATAATGTTGCTGTCGATCTTCTGCAGGCAGCACACTGAATCTGCATTTTTGATAGGAACTTTGATCTTTTATCCTTGAGGGCATAAGATTGCATGTATTTTACATATAGCTATATGATATTTTCAAACATAGATGCAAATTATCATCCATGTAATCTGCGATACAATTATGTGACGTTATATGATTCTGCCACAGAAAAAAAGAGACACGTTTTGATAAGAGATGAAAAACGCCAGAGCAAGAGATACAGGCGATCAAAAGGCACCAGCGTGCCAGATGCGTCCAAGTTGCCTCTGGGTTTTGGGCTCGTGCTAGCCAACGGCCACCCCCTCCTTGGACTTCACCCGCTGCAACCACCAAAACTTTTGATGTCAACCAACCTTGAGTTTCAACGCATGGCAAGTTGGAGTTGCATGAAAAACTTGAGCAATGAGGGAAACATGCAAGAACCCCACGACCGACAAAACATGAGCATGAGCTGCAAAGGTCGGACAGCCACAAAAAGCGCTGACCCGCGACTGAAGGCCGAGAACTGATGGCCGCCTGGGGAGATCACGATGTCCGATTAAATCTTTACAATAGATGCTGACGCTGACGTGAGCAGCGAGCCGGCACGGATCTAAAGATCAGAAACAGTGTGCACGCTCAAAATGTTCATGGCACCAATGACAATCATCATGACGATTGTGATGATCATGATTATATGACCATCAGGACAACATGACGATGACAGTAATCTCATTTTGGGAGCGGCTGCTCCAAAAGGGCTATCACTCAAAGTGCACGAAACCGTTCAAGGTTGTCCACAGTTGCCCCGAAGGCTTTAGTTTTACGTAATGATTTCTCAGAGACCAAAGAGATGGATGGCCAAATGGCTAGCTTGCTGCTTTGATTTCTAAGGGCCTAGGCCCCAAAGGTTGCATCCATGTTCCTTCGGCGGGTGTCAAAAGGAACCTACCCTTAGTTGGCCCCCTCAGCACAATGGCAGCGCAGCTAGATCAGCTAGTATGCAAGCTGGTAGCGTCGGCGGTATGCTTCTGCCAACAGAAGGCTCTCGTGTAGTTTTTCCTTTGGCAAGTTCAGCAAACATGTCCTCACTCTTCTGAATGCGTGCCGGTTGTAACTGGCTTAAATGTGTGCTAAAACATGCACATCTGCAATGCCGTACTTCGCTTGCTGCCCTGCATCTTGGTCTCAATCAATCAGGCGGTGCGCCTTGTCAGACGCAAAGAGAACGAGAACACGTCTATCTTTTGCAAGCTCCGACAGCTTCCTGCCAGTGAGTGGAGACACGATTGTGAGCAGGCCGAACACTGGAAGTAGAATCAACCGAAGCAAAGGAATGCCTGAAGAGATGAGGATTTGACTTCTTTGGGCATGCGAGGCTTTGGAAGCGAAGCAAAAGGATGGAAGAGGTACGGGGAATGCGAAGGAATGCGAAGGAATGTGAAGGAATGGGAAGGAATGCGAAGGAATGCAACAAAGAATATGGGGAGGTCAGTGTTATCAAATGTTAGACTGTTAGCCACATCGTGAAACTGAAACATTGTGGAAACATGAGCTGACACAGTTTGCGGAGGTTGCGCCTTTCCAGGGAGGTGCCATCCATAAGCACAAGCTTCAGGCCGCCAAACGCAAGCTCTGCGTCCAGCGCTCGTAGATTGCGAGTGCGGGCTGGCAGTTACAGTGCAAACGACAAACGCAAGTCCCAAGGAAACAATCCAAGAGTCCAAGATAATACAAGTCAGTAAATGTCAGCAACAGTCAATAACTTACTTGCAGCGCAGTGAAACAAGACTGCCGGGATCAAAAAAACAAATCCAGATGGCACGGTCTGGTGGTTTTGGAATATGAATTAATTGCTGCGCGCGGCATCGCCTTTCGTAAGATTGGCGAAAGACAGCATCCCTGCGACAACTGCAAAGCCTTCGCCGAAGACAACCTGTGTCTCATCAAGGCCTGGTTTGGCCCCTGGTGTGGTGAGCAATGCCAGCTGCCCCAAACCATTGTAGACCTTACGACATGATGATGGTGCATCGCAAAACTGCCCGCAAACCCCACCCTCTGTGTTGAGGGTTCACTTGGGAATTTCCCGAAACGCATGGATTATATATGGGGCGGAATCATATAGAAGAAACATGGTCGGATTCACCACCCCTGATAGCCCCTGATGATTGCTGTTTCTATTCCCCGCCAAGGTCTAAAAGCCCTTTGGAATGCTTAAATGCTTTGTTTTGGTTGGTATTTTCAGGAAGGTCTTGGCCCAGTGTCGTGCTTGTGGGGAGATCTTCCCCCCCACATCACGATTAGGTGTCTTGTTCCTTAGCGGGGGTGTCGCGCCATTCCCGCGGGCTGGTCGCCGTAGCTCCAGCCTTTCTTTTGCGACTTCCCCAGGAAGCGGCTCCCCTCAAGAGCCCCCAGGAGCCCTATGATCCATGGACGGTGCTGCTGTACCTACGTGACAATCCGGCTGTGCATGCCCAACTTTCTTCAAGGGACATTGAAGGTCAGCTTGCTGAGATTGCGGGGGTCTTGAGCCTTCCACGTCATGAGATTGTCCACACCTACAGGGCCAATGTGGCACTACCTGACTTGTCAGCACCTTACGCCGCTGATTATCCATCACATCGATGAATTTGTCCCAGGAGAAGCAGCGTGCTTATGTCTGATTCATGTTGAAATCCATGGCAACCGCCGTGAATTGAACCATGCCGCTTTCCCAGCCATTGATCGCAGGGTGGTTGTGATACCACAACGTCTGGCTCGACGTAATGACTTTGGAGTTGTCGTTGTCTTGTCAAGCACAGCAATCATCTATTTCCTCTTCAAGATGCAGCCATTCTAGGCGACACACGGTGATTATTTGTTGATCTGTGTCCCCCCGGATGAGACCTGTGATGATGCAACTACGTCTCTCCTGGGGGAGGCCTTGCGTCAAGTTCGCCTTGCTGTGCATGATTCCCCTCTGGACACACCAGCTGAAGGCTGTTCGCCTAGTCTGGTTCCACCTGAAGACATTCGTCTTGCATTTGGGGAAGCCGATGTTGAAGATGCGCTGCTGTTACAGACGTCTCCTCCGGCACCTTCTGCTCTGGATTCACCACCAGCCTGGTGCTATTGTCAGCGATGTTGATCCGATGTCCGTGAAGGCTATGTGTATCTCCTCTGACTTTCACAGGTCTGACGCACCCATCAAAATGGCAGACTCTCCTGCACCTCTTCAATGCAGCTGGACTGAGGAGTTCCTGCAGGCCATGAATGCGCTTCAGATGGCACAGGAAGATTTCCGCAATTGACTTGCCTACTTGCGTTCAAGAGCTCTGGCCGATGTGGCAGCAATCTGCTCGTCCCGGCCCTGGCGTCGCCAACGTTGAGACGTGGTATACTGATCATGGACGGGTACAACGATGCTTGTCCTCGCGTATGTTACCTTAGGAGCAGATCCTACCTCTTGGGTTTCAGATATTCTGCACAGGTGGCGCGACCTGGTGCTGGAGGACTTTGAAGTCCAGATTGCCGCTATCGATCCCATGACAGATGATCAAGCTCCCAACGTCTTTGCCCAGTTGCTCTTGATTCAACGCCCTGACAGATTTATGCGCCCAGTGATTGTCACGATCCCTAACACTGCAGTGCAGCGTGGGCTTCTGCATTCTTGTGCTGTGGTTGCCAGCGCTCATGTCCGTTTTCATGGAGTACTCCTGATGACTAGCCTGCTTTACCAATGCCCACCAGAGCTTTTGCATAACCAATGTCGATTCTTTTATGGTACATGTGAACTACGTGGAGAAGCCTTTATCCCGGCAGTGCATGGTGATGTCTTTAACCAGGTTATTCAGAGGGATGTCACGGTGGACATTCAAGAGCTTCTCACTCTATCAATTCCTCATTTACGACAGCGGCTGGCAGCCATCCTGGATCAGGGTGTCCAGCAACTTCAAGTGCCCGAAGCCGATCGCCCACCAGTGTTATCTCCGGACTATTTCAACAGCTTGGAGCTTGCCTTTGATGCCCTTGCTGCTCCAGAACTGCTTGAAGAGGGGCCGTTGTTCTAAATCCACACCTGGTATGTTGATGCTGCTACGACGACGCGCTGTCCAGTCTCTCGACCAGTTCGACTGCGGCAAGATCGTCGCACATGGAGGTCGGAGACCTTGCCTTTGTTGACCCAGACCCACCGCGTTTGCCGTGGATGTCACCTGCAGCTCACGTCCTGCTTACGCAGCGTTCTGAGCCAGATCACTTTTCTGTTCTGGTCAGTGCCGTTGCGCAGCAAACAGAAGGTCCTATCCTGCTCCAATGTATGCATTACATGACCAACCGGGTTTCTGCAGCAGACGTTGTTGCTGTTCATCTAACTCAGGGATGCCGGGAACCTTGTCGTGTCCGTCGACGTGATCTGCTTTTTCCGGCAATGCAATCTGCTCCCATTGGCAATCCTCGCGCTGATGATGATGAGGATACCGCCATGCTCCAGATGCCTCCCTTATCACAGCCTTTGCCTTCGGCACCGGTCATCTTGTCGCTTGATGCTGCCATACCTCCTCTACCTACTGGTTCAGCGCGTGGTGCTGATGCAGCATGGAGTGTTGTCGCAGTTGAATATGATTGGCAGGGTCTACCTTCATTCATGGGGGCGATATCCGGCCTCGTCGACCTCAACCAAAGCTCGTCCCAATGGGTTGAAGCCAACAAGCCTGATCATGTTGCCGCTGAGACTACGGCATCAGTTGCAGCTCACCTTGCAGCGCTTGCACCTCACACGGCGCTTACCATGATTCGGCCTGCCCTCAGTTTGAATGCGATGTTGTCAACATCGAGTTGGTCTTGCTCTACGCACAGTAGGCTTGTTGCCATTGCACGCTGGCTGGGTCAATGGTTTGAGCAATCAGGGGGCTCCTGTGTTGAAGCCCGTGGCCACACAGCGCACCCCTGGAACGAATTGGCTGATTCTTTAGCGAAACATGCTTTAGCGGCTGGGGTTGGTGTTGGTTGCATTGATTTTGGCCCTTGCCATCAAGCCGTTGAATCCGGTGATCTTCGTTGGGCGTGGCTGAAGATACAACGCCCTTGTCTTCAGCAATGCTTTCCCCCAGCCAGGGTCAGAACCAGCTGGCAGATTCAACTTTCCTTGCGGCGCACGACACACCCACATCATGTGGCTGAGCATCATGATGAGCAGTGGCACCGTGTTGATTTACGATTGCCACAGCCAATGTGCTTGCCTTGTCGCAAGATGGTGATTGGCTACCTCAAGAGTCTGCCAGAGTCTGCCTCTTCCCGTGCTGAACGCCTTGACCACCAATGGCATCGTCATCGAATAGTTGTTGCAGGCTTACAAGAATCTCGAAGGCCGGAAGGGCGTTATGCCACGACCAGCTACACTATCTTTGCCGCGGGCCCCCTCAAGACGAGGGGTGCGTCCCAAGGTGGATGTGAATTATGGCTTCACAAAAGCCTTCCATTTCTGCGAGCCCAAGATCACGCGGTGTCGTTTACCCACTTGCGCCTAGTGGTTTCCTGTGCTGACCATCGCCGTGTCGTGGTCCATCTACATGGTCAAACCATCAGCTGCTCCTTCGTTGTCCTGCATGCCCCTTGCCGCAGCCAGAAAAACACCATTGAGGAAATTGAGGCATGGTGGGCGCGCGCAACTGAGCTAGTGCGTGATGCTGAACTGGCGCCACTGACATGGATTTTCATTGATGCCAATGCACCCTTGGCCTCTCATGATTGTGTGTAATTTGGTACCCGCGGAACGGAACATACCAATGATCAAGGACTCCTCTTTGAGAAGTTTCTCCTTGGGGGCGGCTGGTTTGCACCCACCACGATGACCTGGTGCCACTATCCGCCTCGTGCGACGTGGACCCATCCACGGGGGCATTGCTTACGCAGAGATTATGTATTGTGCACTGAGCTCGCGCTCGAATGGTGTGAGGCTTCATGGACTGACCAGGCGAATGACGCCGGGTTTGCACACGACGATCATGCCCCTGTCTGCTTACAGCATTCCGGATGGTGGCATGTGCGGTCGCCTATTCATCGTCACCAGTGGGATCGTTCCGCTTTCCTCGATCCACAGAGATGTCGACAATTTCAAGCCGCACTTTCTACCTTACCGATCCACAGCTGGACTGTGCACATCACGGACCATGCGGAACAGTTTCAACATGATGTTATGCAGCTTGCTTGACAACATTTTGCCAAAGGCCATGGAGAACGCTCGAGACCTCGCCTTTCTGAAGCTACGTTGGCTTTGATTCAGCTCAAGCGCTCAGTGTTGGACGATGGCCGTGCTCAAGGTTGCCTACAAGATGCAGACATCAAACATGAGCTTCGGGGCCTTGAGAAGCTTGTCCGCGAGAGAGCGCAGGAAGATCAAAGCCTATTCTATGCTCATCTTGTTGACCAACTTGCCCAAGATGGTGCACTACATGACTTCCGCTCCGTCTATCAACTCCTCAGCCGGCTTGGAGGACGCCCACGCCACAAGAGTGGCTCCGGCCGACCACTTCCTTTATTGAAGGATCCCACGGGCAAGCCCATCACATCTTTTCTTCAACAACAGCGCCTATGGCTACGCCAATTTGCAGAAGTTGAAGGTGCACTGCCCATGACACGAGAAGCTCTACGGGGGTCTCATGCCGGCTTGCGTGGGATTGCTTGAAGAGCACCTGGACCCGGCTGCTGTTCCCACCACTGATCAGCTGGCAGCCAAGATTCGGAAAATGCGGAGGGGCAAAGCACCGGGCCCTGATGGCTTGCCTACCGAAATTTTCAAAGCGGCGCCTTCCCCATGGTTCAGCATGTTGCAGCCCTCACCACCTCACCACCAAGACAGCACTTCATGCCAGGGAGCCAGATCGCTGGCGAGGTGGACGCCTTATACCACTGCACAAGGGCCGATCAGCAAGCCCACTGGCTATCGCTCTATATTTGCGAGCAACTTTGCCACGAAACTCTACCACTCTGTTCTGCAAGATCACCTGGTAGACGTGTGGCACAGAGACATTAGCCATTTGCAGTATGGGGGCCGTCAAGGTTGCAGCTCCGACACACCGCACTTGCTAGTTAGTACAGCAGCATTTCGATTTTGCACATGCTCGCAAGAGGCCGTCGGCGGCTTTGTTTGTGGATTTCAAATCCGCGTTCTATACAGTGATTCGTCAAGGCCTATTCTCTGATCACCTGGATGAGACCACATTCATGATTGCGATGCATCGCCTTGGTGTTGCTCCTGCTGATTTACAGCAACTCCTTTCTCATGCTCATGAAGATGTTGCCACCTCTGGCCTCACGAAACATGTCAGCGCTTTGCTCACGGATTTATTCCGCGATACTTTCTTTGAGCTTGATGGCCTCAGCTGAGGCGTTGATGTCCCGTGGCACGAGACCGGTTGATCCGGTTGGAGATATTCAACTCATGGTTATCCTTATGAAAGACATCACCAACACCATGCAGGATTGCTCTTCGGCTCACTGGCTTGGCAGCGGTGCTCCGATCAACATGCCTTCTACGAAGCCGCCTTCGTTGCGGTTCTAGTACAAGCAGTAGACATTGATGGCATGTTTGCATTGGCTGCTAGTGCTCTTCAAGCAGTACGCACCGCTGCGGAGAAGCGTGGCCTCACTCTGAACATGCAGGCTGGCAAAACTGAGCTACTATGTGCCATTGTGGGAGCAGGTGCTCATCAGGCCCAGATTCCACTTGCAGACCAGAACCACCTGATGCCAGTGAACCTTTCTGATCACTCGCACTCTCTGCGCGTGGTACAGACCTATCGACATCTTGGTGGGTGGGTCCATGCTGCATGCTGATGCTCAACCTCGCCATGCAGTACGTGACCGCATTGCCCCTGCTAGACAGGCATGGGGACCCCTGGTCCGACCTTTCTTCCGTAAGAAGGCGGTGACTCTTGCTACCAAGGCGCAGGTCTTGCAATCGCTGGTTGCCTCCAGATTGACATACAACATGCATGTGCTCACGAAGCTCTCGCCTCTCGTACTCCAAGAATGGGAGGCCAGCATGCGTTGCAAGGCCGATGCTGGATGGGATGGCCCCCTTCCACTTCTCGACCAGCACATTGTGTGGGTTAGTTGGAGTTCTGGGCCCTGGGGATCAGCTTCATGTGGACCGTCTCCGTTATGCGAAGCGCCTGGTGCAGCCTTTTGCATGGTCTCAGTGGTTCTCTGGACCCGTGGATAGGCTCCTTTCGCTCTTCCCTCACTTGGTTAGCTCAGCGCTATGGCCCGTCCAGATTGCCTTCACCCGAGGCTCCAATTGAGGAATGGTGGTCTTTGATTGCCCTGGCAGATCGATGGTATGGTTTCATCAAGCATGCCAAAGCAGCTTGCCTTGCACACCGCCGTGCGTTTGCTCAAGCGCTGGCATGGGAGAAAAGCATTGCAAACCAGCTATTGAGCGATGATGCCCTGGCAGAGCTCGACAAGCCCCCTTCCCTTACCGAACCATGGGCGTGTGAGAAATGTGACATGGTGTTTGCTTCGAGGAGAGCGCTTGCGGTGCACGCTACCAAGGCTCACAACTACAGAGCCCTGGTGCAGCACTACGCCATTGATGGTACTTACCCATGCTACTGCCGGATATTTCATCAACGGAGCCGCCTTATGGCGCATCTGCGCACCATGCAATCGTGTTTGGATAGCATTCGGGCGTGCTTTCCCCCGCTCCCGGGTGAGATCATCCTGCAGCTTAATCAGGAGGATGCGGACCATGCTCGGATTATGAAAAGCCAAGGTTGGTTTGGCACCAAAGCGACGCAACCGGCACGCCGGTGCCAAGGGCCACTGTGGTTACCAATTGCTGATTCTCAGGAGGCAGCAGTCATGCTCAGGCGCTGGTCGACACGGAGGCCTCCTTATGCTCAGCCCAAGGTTGAAGCTCTTGCCGGACATTGTGATGCTCCTGCAGGCCCACAAAATAACCCTGAGCTTCCACAGCCTTCTGCGGTTGAGCCCTGAAGCTTCGTTCTGCAATCGAGCGGTTACATCCGTGGACGTGATGATCGCTGCGCTATGCATCGTCTTGCCCGGCTTCATGCGATCTTACATATCCGCACATTATGCTTTGTGCATTTTTTTCAGCGGCTATCGTCGTCATGGTGATCTGCAGGCTTGCATTGATAGCCATTGGGTTCAAGGAGCGACGCAGTTGTTTTGCCTGTCCATCCGCTACTGCCTCCAGAATGAAGATGGTGACCTCACATCGAAAGCCAATCAGCGCTGGTGGCAGGACCGTGTGTTAAGTGGAGCTATCTGTGGTGTTGGTGGGGGGCCTCCCTGTGAAACTTTTAGTGCAGCTCGTTTACTGCCTGATGGCCCCCCACCATTACGCTCTTGGGAGCGTGCTGATGCACTTCATCTTCTCCATGCTAGTGTTGGTGGCACGCATTGGTGGCTGTGCTTTTATTGAGCACCCAGCCTTCCCGACCTGGGCTGCCAAGCTTCGCCCGTCGTCCATTTGGGCCTCGAAGGTGGCTCGGCTGCTAAGGCGTCGGGAGCGCACTCAGGTGTTGATACTGGACCAGTGCATATAGCATTGTCCGGCACGAAAGCCGACCACTTTGCTCCGTATCAGACTCCCGACGATGGTCACCACGACTCTGGCGCTGGGTGCTCATGGCCGCTGTCACCATTCGCGAGGGTGGCATCAAGCTCTGGCGGGACGTGATCCTCACGGAAAGTTTCGCACGTCAGTTGCCAAGGTGTACCCAGAGGCCCTGAACATGGCACTGGCCAACAGCATTGCTGATCACGCCCTCAAAGGGGGGTGCAGTGGGCAATGGGTGGATCCCTTGCCCGAGCTTTTCATGCCGGCGCTGTCGTTTGAGTTCGTTGATCGCACTACTGCACTGCCCAATCGCTATGTGCAGATCAAAGCTTAAAACTGACTCCGGCCTTGCATGTTCCAAGCATCTGATGCAATAACTGGAAAGGAAACATGTATTTTCAAGTCTTTCCAAAACTCGATCGGTGACAGTTGGTGGTTTCTACAAGCCAATTGACCTTCATGTTTTGAATGGTACCTGTCCCACATGCACTGTGTGATGCCCCATTTCTTATACATCTATTTTGGGCCACTGTCACTGTGGAGCATTGAGTGCCTCAGCCGGAAAAGACGGGACAATTAGAAGGATTGTTTGTATGTTGAGATATCGAATTTCGATTCAGTGTTTCTTTTTTTTATGTTCCTGTAATGTTCCTTCCATATTCCTTTCATGACCCTTACTTTCAAGTTCCTTTCATTTCTTTTCATGATGAACGTGAACTACGTATAGAAAATCTTGTGGCCTGTCCATTCCATGGGCAATTTCCCTTTGTTCCTTTCCTCTTGCTTTCCTTGGATTCCACTTTCCATCCATTTCCTTTTAATTATGTTCGTTTCATTTTCCTTTCGTGTTCCTTTCATTGGCGGTTTTTTCCTTCATGTTCCTTTCGTTCTCCTTTTACATCCCTTTCTTTGTACCTTCATCTACTTTCATTTCCTTTACTGTTCATTCTGTCTCTTTTTATTGCTTCTGCTAGGTTTATGGGTGGTCTTCAGTAGTGCTGTTTTGTTTTCCACATCCCTTTTCAAGAGCGGCCATCCTTTCGGATTGATTTTGTAGGTTCTTGCTCTTTTACTTGCATTTTTTGTTTTCAGCGCTCTATACTACTCTAATATCTTTATTTTTTTGCTTTGCCTACTGCTTTGGAATTTGTATCATATTGTTCTTGGGACAAACTTTGAACAAACATACTTTTGTCTTTATAATTCACTTTTTTCAGTCCTTTCCGCTTTATGGAAAAACCAAGTCATAGAAAATGGGAAACTTGACGCATCCATGCACGCCCATGCACACACACAAAGTTCCAAAGACTTCTTCACTCACTATGCTCACTATTGCTTGAATGCTGCTGGTGGCACTAAGCCCGAAAAGGCTGTGAGAGCGATGAAGGCGCTGCCGAAGATCAGCGATTGCAGCAGAGGCTGTTCTGTCTCAAGCAAAAAAATGGCCTAGCCAGAAGAGGCTTCCATTGTCAGCTCACAGCTGCATGGCTTTTCATAGCCTGTCATTCTGGAAATACATAGCGCTACCGACATAGCTATCCCATCAAGAGGATGTGAGATGATGTGCGTGGCTGGTTTCTCAGGATTAAAGCACCTACCTCGGCATAGTACATATAGGGCAAGAAAACCGTAAAGAAATTGCGCCAGCATATGCCCCGGCCCCAGCTAGCAAAAAAAATCGAAACAGCATTCAAACGTTTTTTCTGAAGCGGCACCCTGCAGCGGCCCAAGCAACCAAGCTCCACAGCGCAAGCGACACTCTGACAGCAGCACCTTGCAGCAGCAAATTGCAGCGGCACCAGCAACCAAGCTCAAAGCGCAAACAGCAGCAAGTGGCACCAGCAACCAAGCTCCAAAGCGCAAACAGCACCGCGGCACCCTGCAGCAGCACTCTGCAGCCAAAACAGCAATCAAGCTCCAAAAACAGCACTCAAGACAAGCACCTTGCAGCGGCACCCTGCAGCGGCACCAACAACCAAGCTTGCAAACGCAAACAAACATGCAACTATTTCTCATGCATGAAGTAAGAACTTGAACCCCAATAGCTTCGCTCTGGGGAAAGCAAATCAGCGCCAAACAGGATGCTAATCAAGCTTACTGCATGCAACCTGAAGAGAAAACAGGACCATTCCACCCAAATCCGCCTACCAGAACATATATTAAATAGCCGAACTAGCCTGTATCCGACAGGTCTTGTGGATTGACTGTCATTGCCCTTGTTCCACCAGCAAGTGACATCTTTGGCTGCTTGTGCCCGAAACTAATTTCTCATGTTTAGCTCTTCAAACCAAAGGGCAGGATGTTCTACAGGCAGGGCCTCTGAACAGGTGTCCTCAACTCACTGGATCTGTAGGATTATTTCAAGTAATCTTTGATGATCTTTGCATGTTCGTTCGAAGGTTCTCCCACCTTCCGAGAAAAGGTTTCACCAGAAAGCAAATCCTGAGCTCGAGCATGCCTCGAAGTTAGCCTGAACAGTGGAAATAGTGAAATTTCGTGGCTGTTCCATGCTGGGCTATGCCTGTCATGCCATTCCTGTCATGTAAGCTCATCCACAAAGGAAATTCAGATGTTGCTCACCGAAGAGCTCCCCGAATAAACCCCAGAATGGTATGGACGGCCAGTAGTGAAACTTAAAATGTTGTCATATCTTCTTCACGCCTCTAGGAATGATTCGGAGCTCCGAATTCCCAAAAACTACCACCTATTTCCCCCCTGGCCCCAACATGTCCAACGGGAATTTTGGGGTACATGATAATAGATGAACCCACGCAATGCACATCTCGCTGGGCCTGGCTGAGATCCGTGCACGATGGGGAGGCACTGAAGGCACAAAGCAAAGGCCTTGACGGCAGACCCGGCATACAACCCCAGTAGCAAAGTTTAGTGTTCCTTTGACGCTGACAGGTGATCCAGCTTAGCCAAGACAACGCCATGCCTTCAATACCGCCAAGACACCACCGGAACACTCCCAACACACCACACAAACACCACCAAAATTGAGCAAAACACGCAAAACATCACCCAAGACCGTCAAGACAGTGCGGACACACCACCACAGTGCAACCAAGACACCAACGACTAGCAGGACAGGCACCACCAATTCCCGAAAGCACAAGCAAGGGTTTTTCCCGAAAAGTTGCTGCAAACATACTTTGTCAAAATCATTTTTCCCATTACCGTCTTCTGGCATCACGATCATCACAAAAGCACCATCACAAAACCATCATCACAAAATCATCGTCACAAAATCATCGTCACAAAATGATCATCAAAATGATCATCAAAATCATCATCACAATGATCATCATCATCATCACCATCATCATCATCACCATCCACCACCCACCATCCACCATCCACCATCCATCATCATCATCATGATGATCATCATCATCATCATCATCCACCATCCACCATCCACCATCCACCATCCATCATCCATCATCATCCATCATCATCCATCATCATCCATCATCATCCATCATCATCCATCATCATCCATCATCATCATCATCATCATCCATCATTCATCCATCATCCATCATCCATCATCACCGACGTCATTTCATCATCATCATCATCATCATCATCATTTTATTGTGTTTTCTTCTTTTTCATTTACCATGCCTGTATCCTCCTCCTCATCATCATCATCATCATCAATAATAATCATCCCCGACATCCTCACTTTTCATTTCGACAAGGCTCACTTGTGTTGAAATGCCCCAAATCTGCTAGAGTCTATGAACCTAAAAATGATCAAACATATGAAAAAAGTGATAAATATAAACTGAAAACGTAACTTTTGATGTGAATTTAAAACAAGGCTAAGAAATGCAAATCTAGAAGATGTACATTTCAAAATGTAACTCTTTAATGTGAACAAACAGCACCCATGTAAATCTGAAAAATCACAAAACAAGGAAAAAGCGAAACTACATTTTTACCTTTTTGCATTTTCCAAAAATGCGATTTGCCGCGCATTTTTCATATTCCTTTAATTTGCAAAATTGCGATTTGCCAGTCGCATTTTCTTACATTTTTTTTACATTTGCAAACATGCGGTTTCCGAGCCGTATTTTTTTTAACAATTTTTACTTTTCCTTTGTTTTTTTCATCTGGCTCCGGTTTACATTTTTTTGATGCATTCATCCGTTTTTGGGCAATTGTTTAAGTTCCGAGGCGCTTTTTTAAATACCCTTTTTTACATTTTCAAAAATTGCGATTTGCCAGTCGCATTTTTTGCGTTTTTTACTCTTTCAAAGTTGCATTTTTTTACAAGTGTGTTACATTTTGGAAATTCGAAAAGTTACACTTGCTTTTCTCCCTGCTTTTGTTTTTTCAAAAAATGTAATCTCAAAAAGTTAAATTCCACCTTTCTTTCCCTTGGAAAAATGTAAAATCTAAAAGTTCCATTTCTTTTTCCCTTTTTTTCCTTGGAAAAAAGGTAAACTGAAAAGTTACACTTTGTTTTTTTTGCAGGGTGTGATTTTACATTTTTGAGCTATAATTTTTAAATGTTCTTTTTCATACTTTTTATTCTTTGAAAGAGTATAGACTGTGGCTATTTGGTGCTTTTCAAAACCTGTGTACAGCTGCATGTGGACATGATCTTCTTTAATAAAACTCCAAAACGAGATCCACGTGTAGATGCAGGCATATATCTTATTGACGCAAGTGTATAGGCGCATAGATGCAGGTACATAGAATCTTCTTTAGCGCAGGTACCAAATGAAAATATGCAGGTGTATTGCGGCAGATATACAGATGCAGCCGGGGACCAACCTCTTTAAAGAAAACTTGCCAGTGGATATATGCAGGTGTAAAGTGGCAGATGTAAAGATGCAGGTGGAGATCACCTTCCTAAAGTTACCTGCAATGTCCTCGAAACGCAACCCGCCCGCACGAAATGTCGATCGTCAAAAATTGGGGCGAAATTGCAATGTGGGTTTGCGCTGGTTTTCCCACGACATGCGTCCCGTCCCGGCCCTCCAAAATTGCAACGGTGTGGATGGTGTTGCGTAAGCTCTTGCGCTAAATGCGTGTCGATCGTTGAAAAAACGGTGAAATTGTAATTTTGATTGTGCTCGAACCGCCCTTTTTCACGAAACGCGTCTCGATCATTAAAGCTGTGGTGAAATTGCGGTTTTGCATCGGCTTGCTGAACTCTTGGCGCGAAATGCACGTCTGCCGTTCGGAAATCAGGTGAAAGTATGCCTGCGTAAAATCGTCTGTATGCAAAAGCTCCTCGTGTAAATGCATTCCTTTGTAAAAGCGGCTCCGTTTGTTGTGGCATCTGCGCGTAAAGTTCCTCAGTGCAAAATCATCTCTGTGTAAAAGTATTTGTGTGTAAAAGCGTTTCTTTGTGTGAAAGCATCTTTTTGAAAAAGCATCTCTGTGTACAAGTATCCCTGCATAAAAGCATCTGTGTTTCAAGGCATCCCTGCGGAAGATCACACGTGTGCGTGTGTGCGAAAAAAAAAACTTGTGTGTAAAAAAACCATCACCGTGTTAAACATACTTGTGTGTAAAAGTACCTGTCGCTGTGTGTGTGTGTCAAAGTATGTCCGTGTAAAAGTACTTGCGTGTAAATGAATCTCTGCGTAAAAAAATGTATGTAAAAGCACTGCGTAAACGTATTGGCATGTAAAAAGGCTTGTGTGTAAAAGCATCTCTGCGCAAAGGCACCTGTGTGTAAACGCGCCTGCGTCTGCAAGTTTCTCTTTGCACAATCATCTCCCGTGTAAAAGTATTTGCGTCCTAAAGCACCTGCCCGTACAAGCATGTTTGTGTTGACAGCATCTCTGTGTAAGAGCACCTGCGTGTAGAAGGATCCCCTCTGTAAAATCATCTCTCTGTGTAAAACCATCTCTCTCTAAAGGCCGCTCCCTGTGTAAAAGTATTGCGTTTTAAAATATTCTCCGCAAAAAATCCGCCGGCCTGCCGGCGTGTCTTGTGGATCTTGCTTGTTCGTAGTTGTACTGTTTGTTTAGTCTTTTGTCTTTGTCTAGACTTTCCCTTGGCGCGGATTTTTGCCCCGTCTAACTTGAACCCACCCCCCCCTCCCCCAATTTCAACCCAAACCCCGCTTACGCAACACAATCTTTTCTGTCTTCTCTTCGTATTTTTCCTCTGTGTCTTTCGTTGCAATGTGCTGGGTTCGTCTCTGCCCCCGCCTTGCACACCGTGCGCGTGTTCTTGTTTGCTCCACTGCGTCCTGCGCTTCACGTTCTTGGTTGGCTAGCTGGCTTGCTGTTGTCTAAGCTTTCTTCTGCCGCCGTTGCTTCGCCATGAATGTGCTACAAGGGCTTTCTAGGGCTGACGCCCCGTCTACACAACAGCCTTGGTTTAGCCAAAAGCTTTGCTGCACTCAAACCCACTCCTGTACAGACCAACCCTGTCTTACACAAGTGCCCTGCCCGGCTTCCTCACCTTCATGCTCTTGCTGGGTCGGCTGCTTTGCTACTCTCTCTCTCTTGACTGCACTGAAGAGCAGGGTTGGTTCCCACCTTTTCAGGGTCTAGGACTTCTATCTTGGTGAGCAAGAGTAACACCAGCCTTTTAGGAACCAAATCCACAAAATGCTCACTTTATCGTGGCGGTACCGCCGAAGCCAGCCTGGGGTTGCAACTTACACTTGTACAAAACCTGTCAACCATCATCGATAAATTTCGATTTCATAGTCAGGTGCTGTTTCGCCCTTTCTCTTTTCGACTCTGGGCTGGGTCATCTGTCGCTTGGCTCCGGCAGCTCGACGTCAGCAAGTTGAAGAGTACCTGCAGCTGACACAAAGCGACCACGAATCGGGGCCGTCAACATGTGCAAAGTTGGGTCAAGTTGCACAAAGTGTCTCAGAATCTCAACGTTCTCAACTCTTGAAGGAACATGAGGGCTGGGTCATCTGGCGATTGGCTCCGGCAGCTCGACGTCAGCAAGTTGAAGAGTACCTGCAGCTGACACAAAACGACCACAAATCGGGGCCGTCAACATGTGCAAAGTTGGGTCAAGTTGCACAAAGTGTCTCAAGAATCTCAATGTTCTCAACTCTTGAAGGAACATGAGGGCTGGGTCGTCTGGCGATTGGTTCCGGCAGCTCGACGTCAGCAAGTTGAAGAGCACCTGAAGCTGACCTAAAACGACCACAAGTTGGGGCCATCAACATGTGCACAGTTGGGTCAGGTTGCACCAAGTGTCTCAAGAATCTCAATTTCTCAACTCTTGAAGGAGCATGAGGGCTGGGTCGTCTGGCGATTGGTTCCGGCAGCTCGACGTCAGCAAGTTGAAGAGCACCTGAAGCTGACACAAAATGACGACAAATCGGGGCCATCAACATGTGCAAAGTTGGGTCAAGTTGCACAAAGTGTCTCAATAATCTCAATGTTCTCAACTCTTGCAGGAACATGAGGGCTGGGTCATCTGGCGATTGGTTCCGGCAGCTCGACGTCAGCAAGTAGAAGAGCACCTGAAGCTGACACAAAACGACCACAAATCGGGGCCATCAACATGTGCAAAGTTGGGTCAAGTTGCACAAAGTGTCTCAAGAATCTCAATGGTCCCAACTCTTGCAGGAACATGAGGGCTGGGTCATCTGGCGATTGGTTCCGGCAGCTCAACGTCAGCAAGTTGAAGAGCACCTGCAGCTGACACAAAACGACCACAAATCGGGGCCGTCAACATGTGCAAAGTTGGGTGAAGTTGCACAAAGTGTCTCAAGAATCTCAATGTTCTCAACTCTTGAAGGAACATGAGGTAATAAAAACGAAAGGCTGTGCAATGTGAAGGATTTATCATCTATTGCCCCTATTTCTTGAGTTCTTGTAGCCCACTACCAATGAAACGTTTGCTCATCTGAGCTTCAAAAGCAAGTTTGCTTAGAACATGTCTCTGTACCTTCAGACCATTTTGCAGCCAATCCTTCGTCTGCACCTTTGTGATAGTCTTCAATTCAACAACTTTCCATCTTGCAGTGCGTTTTGCAGTCTGCAACTGGTTGGAAACACCTGGGGATCTGGTCACGAACATGCTGAGCAAATGCAAACTTCTCAGGCAAAGGTAGCCCCGCCGCTCCCAGCAACCCCCTCAAGGCGTACGCCCCAAGGGGCGGGGCCGCGCCAGGGGCAATTCTGCCTTCTCCACCCAGCCAGTTGTGACCATGGCCTGCTTCCCTTCTTGCCCGTAGCGCTGCGCAGCCGCTGGGCTCAGCACCCCCACGACGGCCCCGAGCACATAGGCCCTTGATGAGGTGGCTTGGCTATAGCCAGGTGCCTGGGTCGTCCAGTCCCGCTCCCGGACGGTGCCCTGGCCATCTTCACCAAGTCGCATGGCCACCCGTTTGAGGCGTGCATCATCCTCTGTCAGCTGAAATGCACTTTTTCTTTTTTTTCCTCTTTTTGACAAGTGGGTGCGGTCCACTTGCTGCCACTCAGCTTCTGGTAATGCTTCAGCTGCAGCGCCAGGGATGGCCACAAGCAAGAACATCTTGACCAAGTGGCTGTGGCTGGGCTGGTTCCACTCACCGAAATAGTGGCAAATGCCATATCGCGCTGCCATTGCATGGGACTGTGAGGTGTAGGCACCTCCGCCGCAGGCCGTCCCATTGGCGCTGTTGTCACTTTCGGAAGGTAGAATTTCGCCAACAGCCAAGGCACTTGACACCCCGTATAGCGACGTGCCATGAAATTCCAGCTGCCACCCGGCACTCCAGCGCGGAACGCTTTTGTGCGCTGAAATGGTGGCTGCTACGCTTTCTGGCACTGGCAGTGCAACTGCTGTGGGGTAGAACCGCCACTCTTCCCCAGGCTTGTCTGCCGGAAACTCTGGGGCTGCGGGGCTAGCTCCCTCGCCACTGCCAGGTTGGGCGGCAAGTCTTCTAGCAGCTCAGCAACAGGTCTTACCCCTTCCACACTGTACCGGTGCCCTCTCTCTATGAGCCACTTGTTCACGTCATCCCACACTGGCGCTGTCGGTGTCCGTGGTGGCCGGCGGAACACGCCAACGGCGGTTAAATAACGTGATTTGTGTGTCACCGTACACGTGAGAATGGATGGAAGCCTAATTTCAAAATGGTTTGAACCCTCCCCTGAATCGCATGCCCAGCCTCACCCATGTAAAAGTTCCCCGGGCTAGATGCGTGTAGCCTAAGAGCATCTGTGTGTAAAGGCATGTCTGTGTAAAAGTATCCGCGCGAAAACACCACTTTGTAAATGTATCTGTGGATTATCTGTGTGCGAAAACCGCCCCTGTAAAAATGTACTTCGTATAAAAATATCTCTGCGTAGGAGTATTTGTGTGTAAAACCTTATGTGTGTAAAGGCTGCTCTGCATCAAAAGAACCAATGTATAAAATCACATGTGCGTATAAAGGCATTCCTGTGTAAAAGCACCGCCGTGTAAAGGCATCTATCTGTAGAAGTGCCTGCGTGTCTGTGTGCAACAGCTCCTCTGTGTAAAAGCACCCCTGTGTAAAAGCACCGGCGAATGAAGGTATTTGTCTCTAAAAGCATCTCTGGGGAAAAACATCTGTATGTGTAAACGTCTCTGTGAAAAAACAAGTCTTTATGAAAAGCATCCCTGGGTAAAAGCACCCGTGTGTAAAAGCATCCCTGTGTATCAGCATCCCTCTGTGTAAAAGCATCCGTGTGCAAAATTGCTCGGTATTTGCAGCATTTTGCAGCTACTGCCTGTGCATTGCCATCGCGCAATTTCGCAGCAGTGCAACTAACATCTGCAAATTGCATGCTGTTTGCAATATTTGGAATCATATCTGGAAACCAACTTGTCCTTTTACCGCGTTCGGAAGCCCAAAAAATCTGCAAGCTGTAGAATGCCTGCGGCATTTCGAAATCGAAACGATCAGTTGCACAGTATGTGCAGCATACTGGGGAAAAGTTAGGGCGACGTATGGTGTTTGCAATTTGTTGTATATATATATATATATAACGATCACTTTGCAAACTGCGTGGCATTTGCTGCATTTTGATACTGGCATCTGTAAGTTGGATGCTAATTTGCGGCTTTCTGAAGCTGAAAGCTGCAATTGGAATGCTATTTGTAGCATGTTGGAATAATCATTTCACTTGATTATTGTAGATCATGGCATAGTTTGCAGCGTGTTGCGGCACCAGCATGGGCTTCCAGCTGATTGAAAGTACAGTATCGTGTGTAAACACGCAGCATTTTGGAGCTCGGCCTTCGTTTCCTGCCGTCCTTCCTTCCCTCCCTCCCTCGAGAGTCTCGGCGGCGGAAGCGTAGCGTGCTGCGAGTACGTGAGCTACTCTAGTGAGGTGAGCAGCCCACAGCCCTGGTTGCTGCATGGCATCAAAGAATGTTGGCAATTGAGTTGTTATGGTAGAAGCCTCATAGTAAATATGTTACTTCCAAACCTACGTTGACATCCGTCCCAGCCCCGCCTTCACGCAAACCTGCAAACTTTGCCATGATCCTTCTTCCGTTCCCATCACCATCTTCTCGCATCACCATCATCACAGCACCATGACAACAACATCATCACACCGTCACCATCACCAGCACCATCACCATCATCATCGTCATCGTCGTCATCATCATCATCATCACCATCATCATCGCCATCATTTTCATCATCAGCATAATCAGCATAATCATCATCATCATCATCACCATCGTCATCATCATCGCCATCATCATCATCATCACCATCATCATCATCATCATCGCCATCATCACCATCATCATCATCATCACCATCGTCATCACCATCATCACCATCACCACCATCAACACCATCATCATCATCATCATCATCACCGCCAGCTAGCAGCAGAAGCATAATCCTCATCCTCGTCATCAATGCCACCAACCACCAGCACCATCACCATCACTATCACCATCATGGTCCTCATCATCAGCGTCATCATCAGCAACCATGATCGTCAGCATGACAACAGCCTCAAGAATGATTTCAGCCTCACGCAGGGAAATGACACCGGGACACAACCAACCGACCACCAACACAACCGCCTGGACACCACCAACACGATGCCGCCAGGATACGACCAAGACACAGCGAACACCTTGTATCAGCATGGATACTGCCGAGACACCACCGCACCACCGAAGACACCATGAAGGCACCACCAAAGACACCACCACAAGAGCACAATGCCACGCAGACCCCTTCCAGACGCCACCGAGAGACTACCAAAACACCACCGAGATACCACCAAAACACCACAGAGATGGCACCGAGACACCAAAATTGCCAAGGAGATTGCCAATCTTGATTGCCATCGGGAGCCCCCGGCTACTTGTGGACGTATACCTAAACTGTAAATAGACTTACCGATGGCATAAGCCCGGAGATAACGTGATAAGTCAGTTTAAGAAAGGCTGTTAGCTACGTACAAGAAGGGATAAATATTGCAACGTGGTATAAAGTGAAAAAGTTCTTTTTGCTTAGCTATATACTTTTATTGGTTTTGAAGGCCTTAATCAGTAGATTTGATTCTTTGTGGTTTTTGTGACTGTGGGTGTCACGGCTCAAGTTCTGAAAGATTCTGAAGAAATAGTCGCGAGAAACTGTGATAGTCCTGCGCGGACTTTTCGAATGTGTCCGGTTCTTGGATTTGTGTCTGGTTTTCATTACAAATGTGTCCGAAACGCGAAAACATGCGTCTGAGTTTCCACTTTTTTTAAAAAATTGGGTCCGGACTTGTTTTGGGAATTATGTTTTCCGTTTTGTTCTTTTTTGGTGTCCGATTTCCTCGCAATTTGCAGCATTTTGGAGCTGGAAGCTGCTTTTCAACGGTATTGCAACATTTTGGAGTTCGAACCTTTCATTTTTCATGGTATTTGCAGCATTTTGGTGCTCATTTTTTTCATATTGGATGGTATTTTGCGACCAGGGTCCATTTAGGGTTTGTTTAGTTTAGGTTTAAGTTTTATTTCGGATTGGTTTTGTTTTTGAGGGTTAGCTTTAGGGTTGGTTTGGGGCTTGTTTAGGGTTGTTTTAGGATCTATGTAGGATTGGTTTAGGGTTTCTTCAGGCGTGGCTTAAGATTTATGTAGGATTCAAGGTTTGTTTTGGTTTTATCTAGAGTTGGTTCAGCGCTTATTTAGGTATTTAGGCTTGGTTTAGGATCTAGTTGGGGTGATGGCTGGTTTAGGGTTTATTTAGGGTACAATGTTTCAGAGTTTGGGTTTGTTTAGGGATTACTTAAAGCTGTTTGTGTTTTTTGGGTGTTAGTTTGGGGTTGTTTAGGGTTGGTTTAAGGTTTATTTAGGGTTGGTTTGGTTTAGGGTGTATTTGTATTATGCATCTTGGGGTTTATTTAGGCTAGAGAAGCAAAGACGCAGAAAAGCAGGAAAAGGAAGAAAAGCAGAAAAGCAGAGAAGCAGAGAAGCAGAACAGTGGAGAAGCAGAAAAGCAAAGAAGCACAAAAGCAGAAAAAGAAGGAAACGCAGAAAAGCGGAGAAGAAGAAAAGTAAAGAAGCAGGGAACCAGAAATCCAAAAAGAATGCCCAAAACGAAAAAAAATCACCAAAAGTATCAATCATTTTTAACTTGGTACTTTTTTGTCGGATTCTCTCCCGAAATTTTCGGTTTCACAACATGCCTCGCTGTGGGAAAGGATTGGATTATTGATATGTTTGACCACTTTTGAAAAATCAAAAGAAGAATGCGAAAAGTTCTTTCTACTTATTCCTACTTATTTCTACTTAAATACATGCCTCCAAGATGAGTAGCTAAATAGCTTTAAGTCAACTTACAAATAGACAAGTAGCCGGGGGCTCCTATGAAGGCACCGCCCATGCAGACACCACCAAGGCACGACCGCCAAGGCATGACCAAGACACCACCGAGACACCACCGAGAGACCACCAAGAGACGACCGAGACACTACTAAGACACCGGCGAGACACGACCAAGAGACCAGCGACACCACCGAGACACCGCCGAGACACCACTAGGACCGAGACACCGTCACACACCCCGCCCAGGCCGGCAGCCGTGAACCCGACGGCGCCCGTCCGACTGTAGAGGCAAAAACCCCAAGCTATCGCTATTGAAGAAATATTCAAAGGAAATTCAAATGAAACGCATGGACCTGACACCGTTCTTGACACTAAACTGGATGGTATTCATATGCATTCAATGCCCACTTCATGTGCATTGGGCTTGGCATGAGCAGGGTGAACTTGACAATGAACGCACACGAAGGCAGATTTTGCAGTGAATGAGCGTAATATAATATCTAAATATAATTGCTGTCTACACACAGTCAGGCACTCGTTTGCACACATTTGCGAACGCTTGTCCTGATCTAACATGCCATGCTTTAAACCCTCCACGACCATTTCCAATGGCTTCCATCCATGTTCTTTGTATGCAATTTCGTGAACCGAATTCATCATTCTGTGCAATCTGCTTGCGCCTGTGAAATACAATGCGATCAATGCGGCCAGCAGCCGACGCCGCTGCATTTTGCAGCTAAAAGCCCATCGACATGTTGCTCGATGCGTAAGTATTCGAAAGCTAAAAGTCACATCCAGGGACTGCAACCCACTTCCGCTTGCTTTCAAACGTTGCAAGAGATGTGGCAATGTATTGACAATGTTCTGCTTCTCCTCACATCCAACAGTCCAACCTTTTTCTGCCTGTTTAGCAAGCCTTTGTAGGTCTTCCACACCCGGCTAACACCAGGCAAGCGTACCAAAAAATGCCATGCAAAGAAATGTCCCAGGCGAGCGAAGGGCCAAACCGATCTCTTCCCAGCTCAATGCGATCGGTTGAGTTTGAATCTGCACATGCGGACTCTCGCCACCGTGACTATTCGCATTTCAAAAAGACGAATCCCGGACTGCATCTGCTTTGTCGTGTTTGACCCCCCTTCCACGCATCCCACATTGTAGCAACTTTCTTATTCAATACCCTTCATCTGCTCAAATATTTCTGCACCGCAGATGGTATCTTTACTGTCACAAACATGTTCTCGCTCTTTTTGCCTTGCATGACAAACATCTGGGGCATAGCTTCTGCGCGAGAATGGATGTGGATCTGCTTCGCAATGATCAAACGCTGCGGCTTTCCTGGCAGTTCGGGGTTTTGAAAAGTCACGAAACATGAAAAACCTTGAACAACACGGTTGAAAGGGTCTTTCATGGTCTTTCAGTCACTACTGCCACGAATGTTTCAACAGCTCCTGCCTTTTGAGCTGCTCGAGCTCGGATTTCCTCCCATGAGGTGCCTGTGAAATGCGTCTGGAAATGAGAGCCGGCACCTTTGCTACCCTGTTTCCATGCTATTATATCACTCAGTGCATCTGCATCTCATCTCATCTGCGTCGCATTCGCATTGCAAAAGCATCGCTTTGCGCAGTTGCATGATGGATGGATTAAATGCGGTATCATGCGAGCAAGTCTAGAAACTTCGCTTGGACGGGGATGTCCCAACAAGTTGAAAGCCGAAGATGACCATTTGTTGGATAATCTGGGCTGAAGATTTGTTTTAGCATGGAAATGTTGTATCACGCGCGCCTGAACCTCTCAAGACATTCGTTGTTGAACCTCGACACTTAGGAACCTGTCTTTTCATGTCTTTTCTCTTTCTGCAGGTAGGCACATACATACGTTGGCACGGAGACAAGCACATTATGACTTCACACTGAATGGCTAACTTCAGAAAATCTTCCCAGCTTCTGCTCCTGCTTTGGGCCATACTGTAATTAATGCATGAGGCACCA